CGTCCGTCTGTCTGTCTGTCTGTTCGTCCGCCCGTCTGTCCGACCGTTAGCAATTTGGTTTCCGGAGCATAACTTAAGTTCCATTTGGCCCACAATATTCAAACTTCATAGGATGATTGTCCATACTGGGTAGAAGACCCCTATTGATTTTGGGGTCACAAGGTCAAAGGTCAAGGTCACTATTACCTTAAAACTGAAAACAGTTTCCGGAGCATAACTTAAGTTCCATTTGGCCTACAGTGTTCAAACTTCATAGGATGATTGTCCATATTGGGTAGAAGACCCCTATTGATTTTGGGGTCACAGAGTCAAAGGTTAAGGTCGATATTACCTTAAAACTGAAAACAGTTTCCGGAGCATAACTTAAGTTCCATTTGGCCCGCAGTGTTCAAACTTCATAGTATGATTGTCCATATTGAATAGAAGACCTTTATTGATTTTGGGGTCACAAGGTCAAAGGTCAATGTCACTATCACCATAACACTGAAAACAGTTTCCGGAGCATAACTTAAGTTCCATTTGACCCATAGTGTTCATAGGATGATTGTCTATATTGGGTAGAATACCCCTATTGATTTTGGGGTCACAAGGTCAAAGTTCAAGGTCACTATTACCTTAAAACTGAAAACAGTTTCCGGAGCAACACTTCAGTTCCATTTGGCCCACAATATTCAATCTTCATAGGAGGATTGCTATTTCAGGGAGGTAATACTTTATTTAATTCCCATGTCTTACAAATGGTCCATCCTTACTAAAAAAAATAAACACTTTCGGGCATATAATGCTCCGCCTAGCGGTGCTCTTATTTGCTTCTGTAGCCTTCCGACAATTAGAGGAGTTATATAGCTCTTTAGTAGTTTGTATGAGTCATATTTACTAAGTTGTTAACATTTTGTTTCTTTTATGACAAATATTTCGCATTCAGCACTGCTTCCTTCTTGTGATAAGCATTTAACGTGCTCTCAAACCATAAATTAAATGTTACAAATCAAGTATGCCCATTCTAAAAAATGAATAGAAAATCATTCGTTTGAGGCATAATGTGCCCTTAAGATTTTGGCCAGGCTTATAAATGAATCATGCATATTTCTCTTAATATCTTGTTGTCTGAATCCTTTCTAGTCCAGAAAGGTTGTCATGGTTATGAAGGATACGTATATACTAAAATGGTTACATGTTAAATCTGTCCGTGTGAAATGAATACTGGATAAGTTTGGCAAGTGTTCTTGATGACGACGGCAGATAAGTGAAATTTTATATATACAATAAACTGTATACCACTTTGTTAAAACATATATTATCATCTTTGTAAATCTTGATCCGGGATATATAGAGCTGTGCAATATCGCGTGCACAATATCAGGACAATATGCATGGTAAGTTTTGCTTTGTAATGCTTGTGCCGACCTTATGGGAAAGAAGGACAAGTATAATAAATGACATGCTGACAAAAATAGCATACCAACTGCATTTATCTGTCTTCAATAAAGAGCAATGTAATATTTATTTTGAGAAACAATTGCATTTGGTGGCAACATCAATCGCATTGACTCATAGTGAAGATTTGTATGCATAAATTCTTAGCCTTTTTATATTAGACGATTGTGATTTAACTGAAACAATGTCTTGTTTTGCTGGATGGACATATATATGTATACAAAAACTGACACGGTATTTCTAATACATCATAATTTTGTCTACATGAAACAATTTGAGACTTGAAGATAAACAGCAAATATAGCTGAGAATAATCATGAAAAAATTACAAAGTTGTTTTAAGACGTTTAAAAAATGGATGGAATAAATAATTATGGGGGCTGATTTGTTACATTTTTACTCGGTGCGAGTTCGATAGCGACAGCACAGCAAATATCGTTATCTCCTTTTTGTCTTGTCGCTGCGAAACACGCCAAACTGTGCGTTATCGTGCGGCGCGTTGTCGCAATGTCGCCCTGTTGCTTGGCTTAATATTGAAGGGTTGGCTTCTCATTTCTTAAGTGGCTAATTTGGTACACTTTGCGCGTTACGTTGTCGATAGCGAAACACAACCTATATCGTTTTTCTCCTTTTTGTCTTGTCACTAGCGAAACGCCACAAAAGGCGCGTTTGTCGCACTGGTCGTCCTGTCGCTAACGAAGCACGCCAAACGGCGCTTTGTCGGTTGCGGCGCGTTGTTGTGGTTGTCGTCTGTCTGCTTGACTTATTATATATATACATAGCCAATCCTGCGGGGATTTGAGCCGAGCGACAATGTGACAGATAAACACGCCGCACGACAACGCACCGTTTGGCGTGCTTCGTTAGCGACAGGACGAACAAGATGACAGTACCAACTCGCCGTTTGGCGGTTTGTCGTGTTGTCGCGCACAAAAGTGTTCCAAATCTGCCACATTTTTATGTGCCTCCAAGTATGTTTATTATAAGGAGCTCACATGAGATACTAATAATGAAGTAATTATACATTGTAGGGTCCAATACTAATTTACATTGGTCCGCATTACACAACAATGTACTGATGAGGGCTTCTAGCCCCCAGACACTTGAGGTGTGGAGCTCAAAACGCCTTTAAAATCCAAATAAAATGCATATTTGCCAGTGCCAGCACATATACTTATCAAATATATCTAAAAAAAACTTAATATAAGCCGTTTTGAAAGAAAAAACATATTTCAACGTCTATAATATATGTAATGTATTATCAAAAAAAAAACAAAAACAAAAAAAAACTTGCGTGCCAAGACTTTTAATAATTGTAAAACAGGAACATGAAATACAGTAAAATAACCAATATTCACGATAATGTCCTAAAATACCCCCTATATAGTATAAATAGACTATATATATGGTTATTTTTTGGATATTATCATTAATATTGGTTAATTGAAAATGTTGCAGGCTCGGTTTGATTGAGCCGTCTCATGGTCGGTAATGAAAAGTGCAAGTTACCGTCCACGCTCCCTTGCACTGGCTTAAGCAAAATTCAACATTTTATCCTGGTAATTGTGAAATTTTGAATTTAGAAATATATCCGCAGATATGTTCATACTTGATAACGTCTGAACATACTTGAACATTTAGGTGACCACCCACGTCACAAATTACCCATGCAGTAAGGTCATGTGGAGTTAATTGCTGGATCCATATTGTATTTATAATTTGTTTCTCCTCCCTCCAGACCCCAAACCCCCAAATCGAAAATTTTTCAGGAACTTCAAATTATAATGATTATCACTGTAGACAAGATATTTGACGCCAAAGCTTTTTTGTTCTTACTAGGGAGAGCCTGTCCGGATGAAAATGGCACAAATTTCAATTCGTATTTTTCTAGCTGTTGTTAGTATTTTACTTCCAGTAAAGTCCTGTCCTGTTTTATATGAAATGAGCAATATATATTGGGTTATTTCAAAGAAATCAGACTTTGAAATAGACCTTTCTAGTATTGATACATTTCAAGTTACAGTGGAAATGTACATTTTTAAAGTAACAGTTATACTTGTAATTTAGCCCAAAAAACTTGTGCGCCAGTACTTTAAATAATATATCACAGGAACTTGAAATTCTATCATTTAACCAATATTGACGATAAAAAAAAACCAACTAAATATGAGTATTTTTTGGATATTATCATTAATATTGGTTATTTGAGAGAATTTCAAGTTCTGTGAATACATATTGTCGCACATGTAGCTCCATGACATTAAATCGGTCGGTCTTGCATACATGTATAAAATATTAAGCCTAACCTGTAATTGCAAGTTCTACATAAATAACTTTTCGTTACAAACCTTTGCAATGACATATTAAGTTGAACAGGTGTATAATTATTAAACAGTGTCACTTGCTTTTCGTTTAATGTTAGGCCTATAGACTCTTTTAAAAGCGACACTATTACTCAACAGTGAACAGTGTTCTAAATATATCCGAAGAAAAAGCATCTGATCCGAATAATAGCAGGGAATTGTCAACAAAATTTTCCACAGAAAACAAATCATTTAATCTCAAGATGGCTACGTCCGAAGTTAATATATTTTGCAGACAAATGAGTGGAATGGTCGCATACAATGGGTAAATATATTTTTAAGCAGGTTTTTCGTTAGAAATGAAATATACAATAGCTTAATTATTTTTATCGCGAAAATAGGTGATAAATAAAAATGATGCAGAACAGCATCGATTTTATGTGATGTTTTTCCCTGAATTATTTCACATCTATGCTCTTTCTTTATATTAACCTTATCGATTCATGTTTAAAAACATGTAATAGCAGCAGCTGTGGTTCAAGACATTTCTTATTTTTCTAAGAATTAAGGGACTGGGTCATTTTGGGTTTTTTCATCACAGCAAAGTGAGGTTTAGATGACCAAAAATGCACTTGAGCCTACAGTACAGTAGCCTCCTTATGACAACTTACTTTGGATTTAAGTTTCACTCAGACTTTGCTTGTCCTAAATCATCATTTTTCAACCTTTTTGCAAATATTTACAAATAACTTACTACAGTTATCTGTTTAATGATAAGATCATTTTTCCATTGAGCAAAAACTCATGAATGGTAAAATGTCATAGGCTGATAATCATATTCATTTTGAATGGAAAAATACTCTAGTTTACATACAGTATTCAGCCGTTGTTTTTTTTCCATATTTTGTAAAGGTTAAATAAACCTCAGAAAGATAAATTGTTTCTGACTTCATACATATATATTTTAAGTTTCAATCTAGTGGCTGCTTTGAATAACAAATTGGATTGATTCAGTATTGATGAAGATATTTATTTGTAGTACAAATGACCTTGGTTTAACATATTTGATAAAAATAGACATGGTCTTGAAGGTGTGTTACCTTGAGATTATAACATCAATTTTGATTGGTTGAAAGGGGAGGTGTGTTTTGTATATGTTTGTAACAAGCAGTTTCATTGGTTGAGGTTTTGTTTACAACATTTATTTATTGATCCACATACTGGTAGTCATTGTGACTTAATGGGTACAGAGTGATGCAAGAGAAGGCATGGTTTTAAATGAAGTAGCGTAGGGATTTATGTGAAATAATTTTGGAATTTAACTATTTATAATAATTTGTGTACACTGCTAAGTGTTTTCTTTTGTTATCAAAACAAAGTATTTTCTTTTGTTATCAAAAGCAAATGATTTTGAAAATTGTTTTTATGTAAATTGTTGAATTAATTCTAAGTATGCTGATGGCAATTAAACTAAATCTACAAGTGACTGACCAGTGCAGACCAAGGTCAGGCCGGCACATCATTAATATTGCTGTCTGATTGTAGTCTGCACTGTTTGTGATTCAGTCTGTACTTTATTTGCAATTTTTACTAAAAATGATAAATGGTTAATGTTTTGATTCAATTTAAAAGAATGGCATGTCCATTTAAGATATTTAGTTTGGAGTGGTTAAATAAAAAAAATGTTGTAACTCTAAACAGTAGTGTTAATTAATAATTCACTTAATATTTACTTAAAATTTAAATGTAAGAAATATCTCTAAGGCATAATCATTGAATTGTTTAAGAAAGTTTAATTAATTTCACCTATTGTTTGTAATCCATGAAACTGAAGAAAAATAATATTGTATTGTAATAAACAAATATATATTATACTATAGTAATAAATTAATGTATTCACTATAGTCACATAAAACTATATCTTGATCTAAAAGGAAGTAATAGGCTTTAGAAGTAATATTTATCTTTATAACAGGATTTGTTTAAACATTCTAAAATTTAATAGGATTCAGATATAAAGAAATTCATATAAATATTATAACAAAAATACTGAGAAATTAGAGAAACATTTGAAATACTGGACTTCATCAGTTATTTGGAAAGATTTTCTTCCATTTAGCAACTAGGAGGTGGGCTGTCAGAGGATTGTGTTTGATTTGTGTTTATTTTATATATTAACAAGGTATCTTTGCCATGTCAAAAGATCATGATTGTTAATTTATAACTTTGATGTCAGACTGTTGTTTTTGTTGTCAGTTCATAATGATAAATTATAAAAAATTTTAATATGTGCTGAACAAAATGATGTATAAAATGACAGTCTTATGCACTCAATTGTCTGTTTTAACTTGTTTTTATTGATAACATCTGAAATATAATATCTTAAACATCTTAAACAGAGTCATTTGTTAAAGTGATATGACTAAGTCTACTTCTTAAAATGTTTATTTTGTAGCTTCTTTAAAAGTATAATAATAATACATTGAATCTATAAACTTTTGCAGAGTTTTTATTTCTCTATTTACGATATGATTTAAGACATATAGTAGAAGTATTTGTGTATATACTGGTATTTTTTGTTTGCCATAGAAGGTGTACCGATTTATAAAAAGTAGATTATAAATATTTATTATTTAAGGAAAATCAAATTAAATAAATTGTAATTAAGATGACAATTAATAGTGAAAAATATACATTACTGGTATACATGTGACAAGGTGTCTAAGCAGCAGTGCAATATAAGCTTTAATAAGTGTTCGATATAACAAAAATTCCAAAATTTAACATGAAAACTAGAATGATCTGCAGATCTGGGAAAAAGAAATGGAAAGTTTTTTTTTCAAGCATGAATTTTTTTCTGTAACATTAATTTAGTAATGAATTTGGAACAGTTTATTCAAAGATTTTCAACATCAAAATACAAAAACTGAAATATACCAATAGTATAGAGCCTCAGGTCAGACTGCATGAACTGCAGTTTGGTCTAACTCTATAATGGTAGCAAATGAGCCGCGTCACGACAAAACCAACATAGTGCGTTTGCGACCAGAATGGATCCAGACCAGCCTGAGCATCCGCACAGTCTGATCAGGATCCATGCTGTTCGCTATCAGTTTCTCTACTTGTTGTATGGTCTGTAAGCGAACAGCATGGATCCTGATCAAACTGAGCGGATGCGCAGGCTGGTCTGGATCCATGCTGGTCGCAAACGCATTATGTTGGTTTTGTTGTGACGCGGCTCAAATGATAATCAGTTAAGCTTTCCATAGGTTAAGGGTTAAGGCCACTCTTTACTCAGGCAAAAACCACCTGTGTGGCAATCCATTATGACTTAACCAGTCCATGTTGAAAAGCATTTTTTGCTTCACACACTCACAAAAACATAAAAATGTCCTTTATGTAATTGGTTGTGGCTTTATTTCTCTACTTATGTTTATCTGACATTCTTAATGTGTCATTTGTCTGTGTCATATTTGACATTAAACTTTTGGTCAACACGACCTTGAATGTATTTAAATGTACTCTTAAATACTAAAAATTTAATATGATATTTGGGGGATTAGTTTTTATTGTAAACTGTAGTCTTGAAAAGTGGATAAGGCAACAAAATAATTGTATTTGTTTTAAATTTTAAAAGTTTGGGGTGAAATAATAAAAAGGCAAACAAAATCTTTCTGGGTCAAACCGCATAATCACTTTCCTAAGAAGGGAAATTTAAATTAGCCCCTAAAAATATTTCAAGGAAAAGGACCATGTAAATTTTGGGGATTTTTGTCACAAATTATGGTTAAATTAAGCATAATTTTACAAAGTAAATAAAAATTATTTAAAAACAAAGAAATTTTTAGAAAAAGGAACTTAAGGTAAATATCCCTTTTAAAATGTATTTGTTTTCCCTTATGAATAAACTTAAGGGTTAAAAAATTTTTTCTTTAATTACATTTTTCTTACCTTTTCTTGTGTAATCTTATACAAATGAAATGGTCACTTTAAATTAAATTTGCAAATTGCTCTACTTGATCAATATTATGATTTATATAGTCAAAAAAATAAAGCTGCATGCTTAGAATTCCAGATCAGCCTGAAAATATTATAATTATGTCAATAAAATCAAACTTGAAAATAATGTAGTATGATTTAAGAAAAGTAAATAGATTTCAAGATTCAAGTAAAACTTAACATGTTATGTGTGATTTATGACCGATTTTGCAGTATTAATCTTCATATTTCTACTGCTTTATACCTTTTTAATTTTGGTTGATTGTAAGTGCCATTTGCAATGTGTAAATTACATTCTTTGTTAATTTCACAATATTTTATTTTTTAATACATTTTTTAAAAAATTCAGAAAAATACTTATTAGCATGAATGACTGGAGACATGCTTTAAGGGTTCAGGCAACAATATAAGAGCCGCGCCATGACAAAATCAACATAATGGGTTTGCGACCAGCATGGATCCAGACCATCAGGATCCATGCTGTTCGCTATCAGTTTCTCTACTTGTAATAGGGTTTGTAAGCGAACAGCATGGATCCTGATCAGACTGCGCGGATGCGCAGGCTGGTCTGGAGCCATGCTGGTCGCAAACCCATTATGTTGGTTTTGTCATGACGCGGCTCATAATATGATGGTTGACATTTAAATTCTAAATTATAGTTTAAATGATTATAATAGAACCACATATGACTTGAATATTTGCTGATAATATGAATATAAAACTAATGATTGAACCCAAATCATGAAATAAATAACAATTAGAAAACAATAATATAAGGACCAATGCAAAATAATAAAAAAAAAATCATATTAAGACAATAAAATTACTGAAAGTTTGTTTGAAATGGAAAAAATGATAATTAAAATATACTTTAATATAAGCAGAATGATGTTAGTTATGATGTCATGATATTAATTTTATTTTATTTTATTTAGTACTGATTATAGAAAGACATTATTTTTTATACAGAGACACAAGTGAACATTAATTTTCAACTACATTACTTTAAAAAAAGGTGAACTGAATTAATTTTAAAGGGAAATAGTTGAGTGATAGTGACAGTTACACACCTTTAAAAAAAACAACAAAAAAAACAGTGTTAATTAAACAAAAGGAAATAAAATTAAACAAAAGTGAAAAAAAACAACATCCAAAACAGATCAATATGCCAGGTGAAAGTATGAATGGTACCAGTGATAATGGAATTAAAAATGGCAGCAAGTAAGTATTTCATGTATGTGTCTATATATTACTTTTAAAAAAATTGTCCCATCCTTTGTGTGCATTAGTATTTCTTATATACATGATGTATGTGTATATATATTACTTTAAAAGAAAATTGTTTCATCCTTTGTGAGCATTAGTAGCAAAAACTAACAGGCCAAGTTATGCAACATATAATTAGTACATATATAGAACCACATACCATTTATTCAAAAAAAGGTTAAGGTCTTGTTTAATATACTGTGTCACCCTTACTGAAAAGGCCTGCAGCCATTTATATCCCTGTTCTGATCTGAAACTTTTTCTATAACTACATGTATTTTTAAATTAGAACATTAGTTTGAAATCCATTTAATTGAAAATCAGTCACAGAACAGGAAGAAATTCACACATATTTAGAAGTATAAAGGTTTAACATTTTTCATAAAACATCTTGCTTGGTGTGTCGATAACAATAATTCTGATGCAATAACTTTTATAACATTTAACTTCCCTGAGAAAAATAAAACCACAATGATTTAGTTCAATTTTTGTTTTCGTTCTGCATGTTGGTGTCTTTTTCAATAAAATTGTTTGGGTTAATTGACGTAAACACTTAACATGTTTGTTTAGTAAAGACACCTGATATTTCTGATGCAAACATTGGCAGAATTCAATGGGTTAACTTTAAAAAAACAGCTTTGAAATTAATATAGAAAAAAATTTTATGGTTTAAAAGGCAAAATGTATCAACAAACTTTAAAAGGGCTTTTAAAAAAAATAATTTTTTGCTTTTGTGAATTTTATGCAAAAGTTAGGTCCTTTCAAATATCAAAATTTAAATGACAAAATATCTAAAACCCAAATTGTACTCCTTTATGAAAACAAATTTTCTGTTGGCTTTGAAAACTCCTTGCTAAGCTATTAATGCCTGTTTAAAAGTGTTTATATAAAAGTGAAAATGTTACCGGTATGTTCTGAATTTGTGCAGTCAATTTGAAAATAAGTGCAGTCCATTTGAAAAGGAAAAATATTTTAATATAAAATTACAAATATTTAGTGAACAACAGGCGACAAGTATGGTGCTGATTTGGTACACTTTTGGTACACTTAGCACGTTTCGTTGTCCAGAGCGACAATGCAACCTATATCATTATCGCGTTAAACAGCGCATTGTGGTACTGTCATCCTGTTGCTAGCGAAGCACGCGAAACCATGCCAAGTTTTGCTGCGTGTGTCGCAATTTCACCCTGTTGCTTTGCTTATATATTTACAAATAGCCATAAGTCTGTTTGGCGCTTTGTCGTGCTGTCACTAGCGACAACATGACGCACAAGTGTTCCAAATCGGCCACCATAGACAAAAGCCTGTTTACATTACAGTAATGTGTCTTTTGGGAGGGGTATGAAAGTCCAAATGTCAGTGACACTGCTATCCCCCCTCCCACCCCCCTCACCCCTGGTAGGTTTAGGGGCTGTGATTACAATTACTGGTGCATAAAATTCTATTATTGATTAAACATGTCATATGATAAAATTAAAGTGCATATGTAGTCCTTTGAATTGGATTTAACTTCAAATCCAAGACATTTCAGTCTTTAATTATGCATTTTTGGGTTGATTGTGTAACACACAATGGACCCAAAGTGATAACTATAGGCAAACAATCGCAACTCCAAACAATCACAACTCTATCTACATGAAATACGGTTGATTTATTACCAACACACCTTATAATTTTTATATGTTAAAGAATTAAGATGCAAGGGACATGTTTTATAGATAATACCATATGACATGTATATGTAGTCAATTATTAGGAAAGAAATCAAAATTGTCTCATAAAGTGTGAAATGTCCTGTTAATAGAATTTTCTTGATGGTAGACAATACAGCCTACTGACTGATTAATTAAGTTCAAGTGTACTGTTTAGTCAGCATGAAAAGTGTGTTAATGCATGTTCATCTAATAATAATAAAATTTATGCTAATTAATTCAAAAACAAAAGTTTAATGAAAATGTTGAAATGTAGTTGACAAAGAGGAAATATTACAAGGGAGGTTTTGTATAGTTATATTTAGATGGTAGAGGTGATAAAATCCAGGTAAGTCAGTTCGGACATTCATAAAAATAGGCCAGATTTTACTGTAACTGACTTGGGCTTTAAAAAAAAGATAAAATAACAATTTCTTGCCAGGCTCTATACATTTAATGTGTCATTAAAATATTTAAAAAAAAATGATTTGCCATAGTGCCTTAATATGTATGTGACAGGCTTTATCCATTTACACATGTAATTGATGGTATTTCATCAGATCTAATAAATTACTACTGGTTAGGCTGGTACCCACATGAATGGACCTGTTTTGTAAAAGCAATAAATCTTGTTTGAAAGCAAGAAGTTGTCATTTTCGCTGATACACTGCATGGTGACCCACTGTGTTGTTAAGTGATCAATCACTAAAAGTATTCTCTCTATGACCATAATAGGTCAGCCATGTGAATGCTTAAATTTTAAAAGAGTTCAGAGTTTACATGGTCAAGGTGAAATAGTTCAGTAACTGACCTTTTTGCACTCATCAGCAGATTTTCATATCAAATAAAGAAGGTCACATACAGATGTATATTTAGTGATATTTCATAGTGAATTTATAGCATTTATTGACCAAAGCCAAATGTCTGCAAACTGGCCCACCTGTGTTATTGTTTACAAGTTTAATAGGCAAGTGGCCAACATAAATAGAGGTCAAGTAGGAGTAAATACTTAGTACATAAAAGTGAAATCCAGAGTGACTGCAGGCATTGATTTATAAGGTAACATTGACACTGTGGTCCCTGTTACAGAATTTATACAGATGATTTATATACAGGTTAACTTCAGGAACATTTCACAAGACTTTTATTTATGTGTACAATTTTATGGCCTTTATGGTTTTTTCCAATTAAAAATTTGGTAAGTTTTATTAAAACTCAGGGAAGCATTGCAAAAAATGCATTGTGTTTCATAACAATGATGTATTACATACTAAATTCTTCATCACATGACTATAATGTGCTTTACATAACAAACTTTTTTTATGTTCTACATCCCCAAAATTATATAACATTTTATATTTTTTATTATTATAAGAAACAATTTTTTTTGATATTGATTGAAGACATGTTGGTATGACCTCTGACACATTTAAGATTTAAAATATTTTAAGTATATGCTTTATTGTATAAAGGGAATGTTTTGTTTACTGTGAAATATAATAGTATTATAATGTCTGAATTTACATGATTTGAAACTTTTATATTGATATATATTGACATTGTTTACATCTTAAATATATACAGAACCTGTGTAGGTTGATGTTAGGGAAATGATGTAATGATGTACATGTACAAGGAGTGTCTTTATTGAGTGGTTGTTGACATGTTCCTGTGCTATAACTCTGTAAGGAGATGACTTGTGTGATTTTGTCTGTCTTCCCTGTAGGAATATTGAATTTTAGGAATATTGAATTCTTCAAGTAAGAAAGATGCATGGTCATTGGAGTATTCTGCGGGTAGGATATACCGGTAGTACTTGAACAAAGTTTAGTACACACCTTTAAGTTGCCATAATGCATGATGTATAACAGTATATCAATACCATTGTGAGCCTTGTAAAAAAATTAATTCACAGAAAAACATAATTAAAAGTAGTTTGCCTCAAGGACCTATATATATTATTATTATTCATAACATGTTCATTAAGCACACTTTATCATAAGACATTGTATTGAATGTAGTCCCGTTATAGAGTAATTACCTTCGGGAATAACCAGTGTTTATTCCCCTTTTGAATGATTAAATTTAATTGGACAACACAGTTTTAAAAAAGGCCAACAAATAGTTCATTTTAATAAAAGCTATGTGAAATGTTCTGCGGGAGAGGTACTTAATGCCTAAAAGAAGGACCATTAGTCTGAGGATTGCTGGCTGTACAAGTTCATACCCCAATAAAGGCGAAGCAAGTAGCTTTACACTCCTTTATCAGTACTGGTTGGTTACAGGCTCTATAAGCTTATAATTCAAAAAAAATAAAATGAATTTTGTATGAATTTAATTAATAACAAATATCAATTTTTTCAGGTATGCCTATGAAGATGTTGAGAGAATAGCTAAATCAGTTCTTTCCCGGGTAAAATGTCGCCCTCATATAGGTGTTATATGTGGATCTGGACTTGGCGGGTTGGCGGACATGTTGGGGGATAAAGAAATCATACAGTATGAGGATATAGAAGGCTTCCCTGTTAGCACAGGTAAATGTTGCTCCTGTGATAAACATTAAATCCTTGTGACTAATATCCTTGACTAGCCAGATCTGAATGTGATTAACCTTTGGCACCTGAGTAAAAGAGCCAGGCCAGTGTGTACATGTCTGTGCTGGCTGACCAGGCTCTATACTGGTGCTAGCCCATGTTTTGTGTTTGGTTTTAAAATCCCTTAAACTTTAATTGGACAATTACCAATTCAAAGCATGGCAAATCTATTGCACAAGCTCTGAAGGTTTAGTTTGAAGATAGTCCATCAGTAGTGACTCATCTAATATCAACTCATTTTGCATATTTTCTAATAGTGACGGTCTAAAACTGAGATTTGGTATGACAAGGGGGAACTGTATAAAAAAACTTTTTTTGTAATCAATTTTTCAACATAAATATCAGATGTGGAAATTAACACAGTTTTTGAATTTATACTAGCTATTCAAATATGGAATACCTTCTGATATTACAGTCAAACCCAAGTTTGAAGACCATTACAGCAGTCCTGAAGGACTTTTTTGAAATTATGTCATTATTTTTTCAATGTAAATTGCAAACTTTTTTAAATGAAGGTCATCTCTGTCTCATCCCTTTAACTGAGACAAAATTCATTTTAAGAATACAAACAAAATTTGTGAGAAATTTAAGATTATTTTAATGCTAGATGTAAACATCAGAAGTGTTGTCTCTTATTAGGTGAATGGTCAGTGATTTTGTCATGTCTATAGTTAAAGGTGATGGGTTTATTTGCAGGGGAAATTTGTGCTGTAAATTAATAAATTATGCATATGAACAAATAAAGAAAGTATCTTTGATATTTATATTACACTCAAAATTGAAAAAATCACTTATATTGTACCATTATCATGTTCCTCAATGTCACAGTTTGTATTTATTATACATTAATTTAATTTTATGCTGGAATTTTTATGGCATCCTGTTAGTGCCACATGAAATCTTGACCAGTAGATTAACCACACAGTCATTATTATTATAGTCTAATTTTTTGGCCGGGTTGCACAGGTGCAAATCCGGGTTATAAAATGGTGAATGTCGGGCGGCGGGCGGATGGGCCGGCGGGAAAAATATTTTCGTAACAGTTTTCTCAGCAACTACTTATCACAGCCTCTTGATATTTGGCATACAGCATTAACTAGTGGTCCCATACCGTGGGATTCGATTTCAGGTTTGTCGCGCATCCACTTCCTGTTTACCGACTTAGTTAAATTAGTTAGATTTTTTGACATTAATGGTCAATGGTAGGAAATTTTCGTAACAGTTTTCTCAGCAACTACTTATCTCAGCCTCTTGATATTTGGCATACAGCATTGACACATGGTCCCATACTGTGGGATTCGATTTCAGGTCTGTCGCTCATCCACTTCCTGTTTATCCACTTAGTTAAATTAGTTAGATTTTTTCGAACATTAATGGTCAATGTAGGAAATTTTTGTAACAGTTTTCTCAGCAACTACTTATCACAGCCTCTTGATATTTGGCATACAGCATTGACACATGGTCCCATACTGTGGAATTGGATTTCAGGTCTTTCGCTCATCCACTTCCTGTTTATCCACTTAGTTAAATTAGTTAGATTTTTTGACATTAATGGTCAATGGTAGGAAATTTTCGTAACAGTTTTCTCAGCAACTACTTATAACAGCCTCTTGATATTTGGCATACAGCATTGACACATGGTCCCATACTGTGGGATTTGATTTCAGGTCTGTCGCTCATCCACTTCCTGTTTATCCACTTAAATAAATTAGTTAGATTTTTTGACATTATTGGTCAATGGTAGGACATTTTCGTAACAGTTTTCTCAGCAACTACTTATAACAGCCTCTTGATATTTGGCATACAGCATTGACACATGGTCCCATACTGGGGGATTTGATTTCAGGTCTGTCGCTCATCCACTTCCTGTTTATCCACTTAGTTAAATTAGTTAGATTTTTTCGACATTAATGGTCAATGGTAGGACATTATCGTAACAGTTTTCTCAGCAACTACTTTTCACAGCCTCTTGATATTTGGCATACAGCATTGACACATGGTCCCATACTGTGGGATTTGATTTCAGGTCTGTCGCTCATCCACTTCCTGTTTATCCACTTAGTTAAATTAGTTAGATTTTTCGACATTAATGGTCAATGGTAGGATGTTTTCGTAACAGTTTTCTCAGCAACTACTTATCACAGTCTCTTGATATTAATTGGCATACAGCATTGACACATTGTCCCATACCTAGGGATTCGATTTCAAGTCTGCAGCTCATCCACTTCCTGTTCACATTAATGGTCAATGGTAGGAAATTTTCGTAACATTTTTCTCAGAAACTACTAATCACAGCCTCTTGATATTTGGCATACAGCATTGACACATGGTCCCATACTGTGGGATTCGATTTTAGGTGTGTAGCTAATCCACTTCCTGTTTACCTACTGAATTAAATTTTCGACATTAATAGGTCAATGGAAATTTTTTTTCGTAACATCACAGCCTCATGATATTTGGTGTACAAATGCAACCCGGCCTTTTCTGTCTTTGACCCATTTTTTTGTTTTTACATATATATTCACTGTTGAATTATCTGACTTTGAATTTATTGTATGAATTTATTGTATGAATTAAACAGAGAAGTTGGTCTACATGTATGTATTGAACCAGCTTTAATATCAATTAAAATTTTGAAGCGTAAAAAAAGTTCAGTCCTTAAGTTGTATTAATAAAAATGTTGATATAGCATTTATACTACATTAAAGACTTTTTAAATGATTTTTGTGCTAGCAGCTACATGTATTTATAATCTTTTTCAAATGCAGAATCAGAATGCATAAATTTAATGTCTTAGATTACAGTATGTTCTCCAGTAAACTTCCTTTCAGAAAAAAACCCCCACTTATTCACCAAGACAAAATAGCAACTGTTTTTATAAATTGATTGAAAAGTAACATAAAAAATAAAACAGCTGTGCAAGGAGAAAGTAACACAAAAATAATGACGAATTGAATTTAAAATTAAGACAATTACGCCACAGCAGTTTAAACTTTTAACATTATATAGCATTGCCGGCTGGATTTATTGTGGCACAAACAGTTTGGACCATAATATTTCATCAACATTTTTGTGAAATAACCAGTAAATTTGAGTTGTTGTTTTAAATAAAAACAAAGACCCTCCCATACTAATATAATGTAATCTGTGTAACACCCTAACAAATCATGCTGTGTTTTCTTGCCTGTAGGGTCAGGATTGGAAGAAAGGGCAGGTAATTACTTTATAACAGGGTTTTGGATCAGATTTCTTTAACAATAGAGATATAATGATTGTGTTGGTATCCACTGTATAAGTGATGCTGCTATACATATAACAATAGATTATTAATGATAAACCAATCCCTGAGCTAGCCTATGATGCATGAGAGTTATCAAGGTCAATGAGGTAAAAAAAATTTGGGAGACATATTGGTTTTGCCTTTGCTGTCTACCTGTCTGGTTGTCCGTCCGTCTGTCCGCATTAAGCTTGTCTGCCCTTCACAGGTCAAACTACTGGTGGGATTTCAACCAAACTTTACAGGAGTGATCAGTACCGGCATTAATAAGTAATAAATAATAGACATACCATTGCTGTTTAAACCATTATTTGGTTTGCATTAATTATGCCATGATCACATGATATTTTGCATGTTTTGACCCGAAGACATCATTTAAGTAGCCGGGGTTGCATGCAGAAAGGTCACATGATTAAAGGTACATTTTACAAAAACTAGATTATCATAATATTAAACAATAAGGGTGTACATGTTTTAATCTAATAGACTGACTCCGGACTTAAGAATATTTTGGGTAACCCCCCCCCTCTCCCAAGCTTATCTACGGGGTACAGTCAAACTCAAATTTACAGTTACAGCTTCGAAAATAAGCTCAACAGGTTGACTAATCTATTGTGACCTATTGTGACTGGCAGTGCACCGTGAAGCTTTGACATTAAAAGTTTGTTTGTACTAGGGCGTTAGCTTTGAAAAACACAGCTTTGCCGAGTTCCAGATAACATCTTTTTGCTCCTCCCATTAAAAAAGGTTTTAACTCTGATCCAGCAACACATAGATTTGGCTTTGTCTGTTATTCATGCTTTCACTGTCCTGCTGTCGGTTAGTAGACTTACAAAATAGTAGAATGAGGGGTCATCCTTTATTCCTGAGAACAATGTCATGTTTTCAGTTCTATTTTCTATTTGTATTTTTAAGTACACCTAACAGTTTATTCTATGTAATTGACCAATGAAATCACTTCATTTACCACTATACTTTGGTATGGTTTAAATTTGGGTTATTAAAAATGTACTTGTAGTGTCTTATGGAAGAAACACGAGAAAGCCATGTTAAGTTAAAACAGATCTGTATTTTAGGGATTTTTGTAAGTTATACCATGACCATGTAACCTTTCTGTATTTGACCTTACTCAACTTAAACGTCTAGAAAGGTCAAGACATGCAAAAGTGTAGATTATCGTATTACGATTCACGAAAATCTTAAAAACAGCAGTTGTATATCTATTACATACCTTTTAATAGCTGAACATTAAGACTAGATAAGATATATTGAATTGCAGCATGGATTAAACTTAAAATGTTGCCCAATAATTTTACCGTACAATTTCAGACTTATATCTTACATACATACATGTAATTTACTTGATTATATCTTATACAAATTACTGTATCAAAGTAAACATTATTTATCCAAGTATTTGAAGCGTAGTATATTGGTGTCAGAAAATGTAAAATTTAACGTTCTATCAATGGAAGTTAAAAATTTCTCCCTTCCACAAGCCCGATTTCTAGCCATCTCAAGTGTCTTTAACTTTTGTTCAAGTGTCTCAGAACCAAACATATTACTGTAGTAAAAACACAATGATATTAATATAAAGTAATAATAGTTAGACCATGCAGTGTCAGTACTTTTAGAAATTGCAGACTGGCAAAAATGATTTATCAAGTAAAAGTGAGACAAATTAATTTTCTTGACATTTCAGATTCTAGCTATATAATTTATTTTTTTGTTTTCCTGTAATCATATTCTACAATACCTAAGTTTCCTCCCCATGCAGCTTATATATAACATGTATATACCCGAAGGTAACTTTGGTCATATTATGGTATAGTGCTTATATGTCAATCTGTCTGTCTGTTTGTCCATCCTTCTTGTTATAAGATGATCCTTGGCTCTTTAAGATAAAGGCAAGCAAATTATAAGAAAAATTCAGCTGTTTACAAATTTTGAGCGGCTTATTCCATATTTTGTTTAAATTCTATATATAGATATGTTTCTTCGTAAGGCTTGTGGTTCATCATAGTTCCATATCAATACTATAAAATTACCTAAAGTAATCCATTTATAACTATACTCCCTAAATTGAATATTTAAAGAATAGGGAGAGCTAATAATAATTTTACTCACCCAGGCATCGGGGTTGGTGTTAAGATCCCACTTTGGTAAAGATTTTGTGTATAAGTTGGTATCTCAAAAACTATTGAAGGGAATGGAAACTTGACACAATGGTTTGAGAGCATAATAGGAGGTCTTTCTCAAAGGGCCATAACTATAACAGTTTTTGACAGAATTATGAAATGTTTTACACTTAGAAAACTCTACATTACCCAGGCTCTTCAACAGTTTTACAAATCAAGAACTAAGAAAAGCTGAGCACGCTGGCCTACTGTCAGCTCTTGTTTTATATATACTACTGTTGTTATTAATAATTTTACTTATTTATTGTTACATACTTATTAATTTAACGTAACAATTTTTACTCATGTATATTACTTGAATTAAGATTTATGTTTATATGTAGCCTGAATGATATTCATGTGCAACAAGTAATGTGTATGACTATTGCTTAAGCATGCATCTGGTACTAACTTCAGTATGTGATTGTATAATGAGAATAGAATAATATTCAAAAAAATTGATTTTGAGTAAAGTTGTTGAAAGGACAAGGTCACTCTGGCCATTACTACAAAAAGCTTGTCCGACCTGTAACCACAGATTTCTATGGCCTACAGTCAAAAAGTTTCGTCATGACAGTAGATGAGATCTTTTGATATTGAGGTCATTTTTTGTTTTGAAAGTCCAAAGACAGTGTGTTCTTAAATGCTCAAGCTTTGTCCAAGCAATAAATAATGAATGTTTAATTAACCAGGTTTTCAATTTTGAAAATCCTGGTTATTAGATTGGGGTATGGCGGGCGGATGGGCGGCTGGGCGGATGGGCGGGCGGGCGTCAAACGAAATTGTGTCCGCTCTGTAACTCTTCAACCCCTTGAAGAATTTTGATGAAACTTCAGACAAATGTTTACCACATCAAGATGACGTGCAGAACGCATGTTCCGCATGGCTGGCTCCAAGGTCAAGGTCACAGTGACATTAACATTGAAAATCCTGTCCGCTCTGTAACTCTTCAACCCTTTGAAGAATTTTGATGAAACTTCAGACAAATGTTTACCACATCAAGATGACGTGCAGAACGCATGTTCCGCATGGCTGGCTCCAAGGTCAAGGTCACAGTGACATTAACATTGAAAATCCTGTCCGCTCTGTAACTCTTCAACCCTTTGAAGAATTTTGATGAAACTTCAGACAAATGTTTACCACATCAAGATGACGTGCAGAACGCATGTTCCGCATGGCTGGCTCCAAGGTCAAGGTCACAGTGACATTAACATTGAAAATCCTGTTTACATGATTTTAACTTGATTTGGCAGTCAAAGGTCATATCATCTTTGGAGGTAATTTAAAAAAGATATGATATATTATTTCATGTCTACTTTGTAACTTGTTTTTCATTATACAGAATTATCATATAATTATAGTGAACAAATTCTTCTGTGCTGAACTCGTCCTACATTTCTCAACGGATTTTGTTCAAACTTTCACAGAAGCTTTGTCATCAAGCACCCTGGCACATATTGTCGGGGTTTTGTGATTGGATAGTTTTTGACCTAATTATGGCCCTTTGTTTTTTTCCTTATACATAATATTATAGTGAACACTTCTTCAGTGGCAATTCCTCCTACATTATTCATGTTTTACATTGCACATAGTTACATTGTTTGTTGCTTGTATTTGTATTTCAAATACAACATATTTATCTACAATGGTGATAATTGAAAACCTGGTTTCATGGCATTGCCATGTTTCTTGTTATGTTTTGATCTTAAGTTATTATATTTGGTGAGAAGGTTGGTCACTACCTGTAAGTGATCCCTTAATTATCCCTAATAATTTAGGGGTCACACAGTCGAAGGTCAATGTGTAAGTGGTTTTAAACACATAAAGTTAATTGATAGATCCCTACTCTAAACCTTTTATTTGAATAACAGTAGATTTAAGCACCAACATTGACATGACTATGCTCTTTTGTGGTGGAATTGTTATTGTATCCACTAATCTGATAATAAGAATTAGAAGGTCAGGGATCTAATGCATAGAGAATGAAGTAACAATCCAACAGGTAGATTTGGTATTGTATGGAGGTTGGCCCTAACTTTTAAGTTTTTGATACCTAGTAATTTTTAAATCAGTCAGTATTAAGTCAAGGTCACCACAGCTTTTACCAGGAAAAGCTTGTTTGACCTGTAAGTAGAACTCTTTGGCCTTCTGAGTTGGAGATTGGTCATGACTTTTAGAAACCTAATAATCTTGGCATCATTTAACTTACAATGTACAAATGTATATGTTTCCATAAAAGGGCAGCTTACATGATTATGTAAACAATTGTTGTTTTTGTATGGCCACTCTTGTCCAAATTGGACTGAGTTTGTCACACGTTTAGCATTGTAAAGTAAGTACATGTATTTGTTCTGAATTGTGGGGCTACTATATTTTATACCTCCTTATGGTGCTGGTAATTGTTGTCATTGTTTGCCGAACATAAATTACAACTGTAGCAATATGAGAGGGATTGATGGAGTTAATTTCTTTGAAACTAAAATTTATTGCTATGAAAATTAAAGATGTTCTTTCAAAGAATTATTATGAAAAATCAAAAGAAAAATTTTACCTATTGCTATGAGGTATATAGCTAGCTTTAGAAGGCATGTGAGACCTTACCTGTGTTTACAACTAATACTAATGCCAGTATGTAAATTATTTAACTGAAAGAAAAAATAAAAAAAGAATATTGATTTCATGCATGTTTTAGTAATGCACAATTCAGTTGTAACCATAGTCCCTTCAAACTCTGGAAAATAGCAAATACAGTCATAATAATTCATATGGTTAAATCTTTCCTAAAAGGCCAAGCCCTGGGAGTTGAACATATCTTCAGGCAAAGGCAATTAAACAAAACTTTCACATTAACCTGATAGTGTGGGGTTGACCTTAG